TCAGTAGAGCTGCTTTGGCTCCGTGTCTTGGTCGTGCGGCCTACTGTAGTAGGTGTCCTGTCAGGTCCGGTGGCACAGCCTCCCCCGTCACCCAAGCTGGATGCTCGAGGGGCGCCCACCGTGTGGGCTGAGTACACCCTCCTCTTGTAGTTGGGCCTTGAAGTCGCTGTTTAGATAAGGTCAACGGGAGGGATTTACCCAGGAGAGTCAGCTGCAAGGACTGGCTGTGACCACTGACCGCCAACCCCCGCCCTCCGTGGAGGATCCGCCGGGCAGGGCCAGGTGGCGGTGCTCTGACGTGGGCTGCAGTTGTCTGCAGGGTGCGCTGGCCCTGGGGTATCTCAGGTGGTGCAGGCCAAGGTCAGCCCCAAACTGTGTTTTGCCTGGGCCACCCTGCCTGACCTATGAACCGATCTGAGATGGCCGCTGCCTGTGCCGGGCTTGGAGATCCCCAGGCAAAGCCGAGCGTGAATCTGGGCTGCTGCTGCTGGGTGCCTGCCCTGGGGCTCACCGAGGCCGCCGCCTGCGTGAGAGGATCCAGGAAGCCGCGCGGCTGAGCCAAGGCCAGCCTTCCACAGGGAAAAGCAGCCTGGGCGGGCCCGTAAGTTGGGTGCGGCCGAGTCTCTGGGGATCTCCAAGGCGCGTCACACAGTGTCAGCCGGGTTGATGGCATCTCAGATATGGCACCAGCCTGCCGGCTCTGTGGCTCTGGAGGGGCAGGGCTTAGAAAAGGGACAATGGCCTCTGCGCGCCTCGGTGCCAGACGCTTCAGTTGCTCCCTGTTCACCGCTGGGGCCTTTCACGCTGCTTCCCCGGTGCTGGAGCTCAGGGGGAGCGACACGGAGCAGCGGGGTCCGTGTGGGGGTTCTTTAGGGAGAACTGCTTGGGGCTCCCGAAGTTCCTTCCACAGCCTCAATCCCTGCTGGGTTTTGCAGCCGGAAGTTGTGGGGACTTACCGTCCTGGCACTGGCACCCGGGGCCGCGGGGCCTGGTGTGCGGCTGGGACTCCTCGCCCCCGAGGTCTCCCTCCCGAATTTTTACCCACCACACGTGGGTGAGGGACCAGCCTGTTCCGCGTCCGTGCCCCTCCTACCAGTCAGGATGGATGTGCTTTCTCTAATTCCGCAGCTGTCAGACCTCCATTCCGCTTGATTCCTGGTGGTTCTGAGTGACGGTTGTTCCATGTTTTAGCTGTGCTTTGATGTGGCGGTGTGATGAGGTGAGCCACGTCTGCCTGCCCCGCCATCTTGTCTGGAAGTCCTAAGTTTTTAAAAATTAATTAATTTTTTCGAGAGAGAGGAAGGGAGGGAGAAAGAGAGGGAGAGAAACATTGATCGGTTGCCTCTGATATGCTCCCCCAACAGGGGACCGAACCTGCAACCCAGACACATGCCCTGATCGGGGATCGAACTGGCGACCCTTTGCTTTGCAGGACAATGCCCGCCCACTGAGCTACACCAGTGAGGCTTTTTGTTAAGTTTTATAATTTGGGGGATTCAGGGGAAGCGTTTTTTATTGGGCAGAAAGTTGCATAAGAAGGGGAATCGCCAGTTCTGGGGAACAGGTGCCACTCAGTGGCTCAGCTGCAGACCCTGTGATAACGCAGTGGCCTCCCAACGACTCACCAGGGAAGTTCCTGCAGCCGCTGCAGGAGGTTGGGGGGCTTGGTGTGGGCGGCGTCGGAGGCCCTGAGAGCCGGGAGATGTGCGTGAGGCGGACCCGCTGCCGAGCGGCTCTGCGTGCCACCGGCAAACGCTGATGCAGCGCCTGAGCTCAGCGCCAGTCCCCCGGGGCCCATGGGGCAGGGTCTGGGGCTGTCCCGGCTCGGCTGGCGTTGGTGTCGAGACCGTGTGCGCTGCCACGGATGGTGCACGTGGCTTGTTAGTGGCTGAATTGTGCCCCCTGAAAGCCCTCAGTTGAAGTTCTACCCCAGTGCCTCGGAGCGTGGCCTTGGAGGCAGAGTGGCTGCAGATGAAATGAGTAAAGCCGCGTTCACGCGGGAGTAGGGTGGACCCCGATCCAAAACCATCGGTGTCCACACCAAGGGGGCTTGGGCGCAGCCCCGGGGAGAGGGATCTGGGAAGGCGGGAGCCAGGCCGCCACAGCCGAGGGCCGGCGGGAGCCGCGGGGCCTGGAGCCGACCCTTCCTGGGGCCTCGCTCTTCCGGCCTCCAGCCTGTGAGGCCTGGAGCCCCTGCTGACCAGGGCCCGGCTCATCGTCCTTCGCTCCCACAGCCCCGGACCCGCTTCTGTGGCTTTGCAGACGTGTGCCAACGTGTTAAGAAACTGAAAGGAAAAAGCAGAAACAGAGCCTACTACGGTCTTTCAGGGGGTGGATCCCCAGACACTCAGCGTGGCCAGAGCAGCCAGCTATGGGGCTCTTGTTGCGGTCCAAGCCCTGGACAAGCACCTGGCAAAGGTGACGGCCCTCCCCCCTCCCCGCCCCCGGTACAGTGGGTGGGACGCCCACTGTGCGCCCAACCCCCTGGGCCCGGAGGACATGGGACGAGGCGGCAGGACGGGGCAGAGGCGGGACGGGGCCTGGGGCAGCGCCTGAACCTCGGTCTTCGTGCTGTGGCGTGGAGGGTGTCTGGGGTCGGAGCTCTGGCGCGGGGCCGGCTTCAACAGTGCGGAGCGGGCAGGCGGCTCGGCCAGGCGGCGGAGGCTGCCGGCTGCGCCCGGCGTGGGTGGAGGCCGGGCCGGCGGGTCTGATGCCCGTCTAACGGAACGTGAGGGCGGGCCCGTCACAGTGCTTCCCTGGCCGCGGGTGCCCACACACGCGGAAGACGGGGGCCCAGGGCTCCGGCGATGCTCTGGTGCGTGAGCCTGCTGTCCCGAAGGGCCGCTCTTGTGCCGGAGCGCAGGGGAGGCCAGGGGCCGGCCGAGCCTGCAGGGTGCCCTCGAGCCCCCGGCCCTGTGCGGGGCGGCAGCTTCTGCCCCTCGCCCCCAGCCTGCCCGCCCCCGCCCCCGCCCCCGGAGCCCCGGTGTTGCCCCCCTGGCGTCGCCCGCTCAGCTTTCAGCTTGGCTTCACTGTCACCCCTCCGAGGGGCGTCTCCGAGTGGCCCCCGCCGGGCCGCCCTGCCTCCGACGAGGCCCTGCTGGCTTCCCTCGTGGCTCCCTAGGGAAGGCGAGCGCAGGCTCTGGCCCTGCCCCGGCCGGGGTGGGAGCCTCTGGGACCACCTCTGTGACTGTGGCCGATGGCTCCGTTTCTTAGAAAGGGACCTGGCTCGGCACCCTGGATTGAATTGTGTCCCCTGAAAGGTCTGTTTGAGTCTTGAGCCGGGGACCTGTGAGTGGGACTTTATTTGGAAACAGGGCCTTGGCAGCTGTGGCTCAGCTGCGCTGCGGAAGATGGCCGTCCCTGCCCAGGTCGGTGGGGGCCCGGGAGGGGCTGCGGCCCACCCCCAGGCGCCGAGACCGAGCGGGCAGGGCTGAGACGGGGGCGGGCTCCGGGGATGGCGCCCACGACGCACCCGCACCCTTGAGCGCAGCCCATGGGCCCCGCGGGGATGGGCTCAGGGGCTGGGCTGGGCCTCCGTCCCCCTGCGGATGCGGGCCCTCGGCCGTGGCCCGGCCGCCCTGAGGGTCAGCCCAGAGCGCACACACGCCTGCGTCTGGAGCGGAAGGTGGCTGCTGCGTGGCGTTGACATCGCAGCTTCTCTGGAGATGGTCCTGGCTGTTCTCCTTGGACCTGGTGGTATGTTTTGCTCACAGGCTTTCAGGAGGTGAGCTCCTGTCTTCCCGGTGCGGCCCCACTGCCCTCGTGTGGGTTCTGCTGCTCAGACACACCGAGGTCCAGGGCGGCTGAGGTGGCCCTGCCCAGAGGGGCCGGGGATTCAGCTGGTCTGAGGCGGGGCCCGGGCGCCCCGGGGCCGGCGGATGGCCTGCGGGGCCTGAGGAAGCCTTGGGCGGGGGCGCTGCGAGGCTGTGGCCGCAGGAGCCGAATGCCGGAGCTGCTGCAGGTGCCGTCCCCGCGCACGTGCCTCAGTTGCCAGGAGCGCCCCCGTTTCCTCTCACTGCCCCCGGCAGGGGTGCCCGGCCCTCTGTCGTGGGCGCGGTGCTTCTCCCTCTGAGGGCGGGGCGCACGGGGCTGTCGGCGGTTCGTCCCCGCCCGCCCGTGTTCCCCAGGGTGCGGGCGTCTTCCTGCCTGCGCCCCTTGGCTGCGTGCTTGTCAGCTGCTCATGCTCCGAGTGGCCCACCTGCAGCACGGGTGACGGGGGACTGTGCGCGCGGGCTCGGGCCCTTCTGTTGGTGTCCGCAGGGGACAGGCCGCGTTGGGTTCCTCGGCCGCCGCCTCCCCTGGGGCTCGGGCCTCAGTGCCCCTTCCGGTGTGGACTCTGCACCCGCCGTCCACCGCCACCCGGCTGCACTTGGGGGCGGGGCTCTCGCTGAGCTGGACGGGGTGGGACAGGGGCGTTTGACTCCTTCGGGCCATGGCCCGCGGGGCGGAGGGCTGCCGGCAGTTTACAGGCGGCCTGTTCTTGGGTCTCTGCACGGCTGGCTCAGGCTTGGCTTTTCGACACCTTCCAGCTCCCACGGCGTTGCTGCCTTGTCTCCTCCCCTGTCTCCCTGCCTCTGTGGAGCAGAGGGACCTTCCTCGTTGCTGCAGCCGGGCGCTGGGGGAGCTGGAAGGCGCGCGTGCAGTGTGCCACCCGCAGCCGGCGTGCGACCTCCATTCCCCTTCCAGCAGAGGCCCACCGCCATCTCGCTGTGGGAGGGGCCCGCTGGCAGGGGCGTCGGGCGTGTCTGCGGAGTCACGTTCTGCGTGGAGCAGGCGCGTGGCCCAGACAGTGCTGCATGTGGTCACGGCGGTGGTTTCTCTTTACCGATAACCAGACAGGAAGCCATGAGGAGCCTTCGGGGATGGACCGCTCCCCTGTGAAATGGAAACGCGGCCTTGAGGGCTAGCCACTCCCAGCAGCAGCCCGGGCCTGCCGAGCCCGATGTCCCGGGGCCCCAGCGCCCGTGGGTGCGGACGGCGGAGCAGGGCAGGTCCCGGCCATGGTCACGCTCATCACCGAGAAGCTGCAGAGCCAGAGCCTGGACGACCTCGCGCACCGGAGCTGTGATGCGGGCCCGGTGAGCTGGGGCCTCGGGGCGCCACCCGCACTGGGCGGGGGGGGCGGGCCGCGGTCTGGGGGCCAGGGCGGCAGGGACGCGCAGTCACCAGAGCCTGGCAGCGTCATGGTGGTGGGTTTCCGGCATCGGTAAAAAAAATAGACCCAACTTTCAACGGATGTCTAAGCTGCACGCCGAGTGCACAAACCCCACGTGCGCACTGGCGACCAGGCCCTGCGCAGCAGCTGTGCGACCGCCCCCCGAGCCGCCTCTGTCTCGACCTGCTGCCGTCGGTTAGTTCTGCCTGGGTTTGAGCTTCGCGCCGTGGAGCCATTTCCTGGGGTCTCGTCAGCGTGACTCTTAGGACCCCACTGCTGCCCTGGTTGGACTGTGGCCGAAGGGAGGGGACTGCATGCTCAGCCCTGGAGCGGTCTCCCCGGGACGGACGTGCTCCAAGCTTCCCGGCGGCCTCCCAGCCTTTGCTCTCTTGGTGGCCTGTTGCTCGTTAAGGTGACGAGCGGGCGGCTGTGGAGCCTAGGCCTTCGTGCCAGCTGTGAGGCCCGTTGTTACAGCTGATGACCCGGAGGGCCCACGGGTCAGATGCCGGCGCTCTTCCCGCGGAGCCGGGGGCCAGGCCGTCGCAGCAGGGCCGCCGGGGAGCCTGGCTTGGGGGTGGGCCCGCTGGCGCGGAGCTGAGGGTGAGGCCGTGAGGACCAGCGCGGCTCACGGGGCCCCGCCTCAGGAGCAGGAGGAGACGCGCCCGTGGCTGCTGCTTCTCTGCACCCCACTGAACGCGGCTAGGCTTTTGGGGATTTTGATTAAGAAAATGGGGGCCGGGTGAGGAGGGGGGAGGGGTTCGGAAGCACCAGCCGGCTGTCACAGAGCAGGGGCGGGAGGTGAGGTGCCGGGGACGGAGGCAGCGGCGCGGTGGCAGCCGTGCTGGGTGCCGGGGGAGGCGCCGGGTGCGGGGGCGTCGCTGTGTCGCGCGCGCACTCGCCTGGCCGCTGCGCTGCGCACTGGGACCGACACTGAGCCACGCCGAGTGTCAGCGGGGACGGAAAAGGGGGGCACAGGCGCTCGAGGAGTCCGTGCCGCTCTGCTCGGCCACCAGACGAGACGGGGTGGGGAGTCGTCACCGCGGCAGCGGCGACCCCGGGCTGTGGCCGAATCTCACGGGAAGCCCTCTCTCGCCATTTCCAGCAGCCTGCCGAGAACCGCAGCAGCAGCAGCGGCGGCCCTTTGTCCGCTTCCGAGACCGGAGGTGAGTGGGGGGGCCCCGCAGGCCGTGAACAGGGCGGTGCCAGTAAAAGCCCAGCAGCATGGAACCGGCCACAGCCGGAGAGGTGGGGTCAGCAGGAGCACCTGTCGGTCCCCCCGCCCCCCCCCGGCAAGGGTGGCGCTGCTGCCTTGCCCTTACCGGACAGGCCAGCCCCCGGACCCTGCGGCCACTGGACGGAGGGCGGGACGGGCCAGTGGCGCATGCCCTGCAGCTGTGGGCGCGTGTGTTTCGCGGGCGGCTGTGCCCTGGAGGGCGCGGGTCTGCCGGCTCCCTGTCCCTCCAGGGCTGGACCTCCACGCAGGCGCCCCATGGTCTGACTGGGGACCGGTGGCCCAGCCGCCAGGAGTGTGAGTGTGAAAATGGGCTGGAGAGAGAGCGAGCGGCTGAGAGCGAGCATGAGGAGGGTGCGTGGGGAGAGAGTGCGTGTGAGTGTGGACGTGTGGACAAGGGCGCACGAGGGGTGTGAGCACCCGTGAGCGTTGAGCATGCGCGTCGAGAGGCTGCCTGGCCCGTGTGCCCCTGGCACGCCTCGGCCGGCGTCCGTGGTCGCGGTGGAGTGTTAGCTGTGTGGCTTTTAGGTGGCACAGAGCTGGGCTGAGCCCTTCCCCCACCCCCGCGTTCACCATGGCCATGGGGTGTTCCTGTGCCAGCCGGCGACACGCGGGGGTGTCGCAGCGGATGCTGCGACGTGGCAGGGTGGGAGCAGGGGGCGTGTCTTCCCCTGGAGTCAGTCCTATGTGGGGGACCTTCCTCGCTCACAGCCCCTCGGGCTCCTGGCGCAGCCACGGGCCTGCCCTGCTGCCCTCTCCGTGCCCCCGGAGGAGGCAGCGGGGCCTCCCTGACCATGCGTGTGTCTGCGGTGGGGGCTCCGGCCCCCCGCAACGCCTGCCCCTCACACCCGCGAGGCCCGGTTTCATGTCAGGTGACAGTGCGGCTTCGCCCGAGGCTGGCAGGTGTCCCCTGCTCACCTGTCTCTCCCTTCTTCCTCAGAAGACAGGCGTCCCTGGAGGGCCCCGAGTGAAGGACTGCCCGTCAGAAGCCAGGCTCCCCCGGGCCCCACGCCGCTCTTCCCGCCGGACCCCCACGGTGCGAGCGCGGGCGTGGGCCTGGGGGCGGCCAGCGCAGAGGGCCTCGCGGAGAGCTCCGGGCCACCCTCGGCCCCGCCCAGCAAGCGACACTGCCGCTCCCTCTCCGAGCCCGAGGAGCTGGCCCGCTGCAGGTCCCCGTGGCGCCCCGGCGGCTCCAGAGTCTGGACCGCCGTCTCCAAGAGGCGGTGCCTCAGCGGCGGGAGCTCCTGCCTGCCGGGGGGCGCCTTCCCTGCGGCCGGCCCGGGCTCGCCCCCCGTGCCCCGGCCGGCCTCGGCCAGCAGCGGCTTCCTGGACAGTGGTGGGAGCAGCTCAGGCCCACCCTGGTGCCCCGCGGAGCCCTGCGCGCTGCCGCCCCGGCGCCGCCTGTCCCTGTCGCAGGAGCGCCTGGCAGGCGCGGACACCCCATCGTCCCTGCCCGCGCCGGGCTGGCGGCTGGGCCTGCTGCGGAGCCGCTCCCAGCCCTGCGTGCTCGCCGGGAGGAAGGGCCGGCGGAAGCGCCCACGGGAGGAGGACCCTCGCTGGCTGCGCCCGTCCTTGGACTTCCTGAAGATGACACGGGTGAGGCGCCCTCCCGTGTGCCCGCGGCCCCTGCGGGTGCGCCCCCTGCGCGGGGCGGTCTGTGTGGCGTGTCCTCGGGGCTCGCACGGCGGTGGCAGCCTCACGTGTGCTGTCCCTGGTGGGGGCCTGGGCTGCCCTTCGGGGGAGACAGGGAGGCAGGTGCTGGGCCAGGGCGTCGGCGGCTGCGCCGGCTTGGCTCCCACCCTCACTTCCCCACGGGCTCCGCACTGCGTCCTCCGCCGCCTGCTCTTGGGGACGGCGTGTGTTGGGAACTTCGGGTTACGGGCCGGCTCGAGGGCTCTGGCGTTCTGGGCCCGGCACTGCCCCCGCCCCCACCCCTGTCCTGCTCACAGGCCCAGGCTGGAAGCAGTGACCGCAGAGACAGAGCAGGCCCGGGCCCTTTGGAGGGTGCTGTCGTCGCGGGCGACCAGGGCACGGGGCGGAGCCGGGCAGGACGGCCTCCGTCTGGGGACTGCGGTGGGCAAGGGGGACGGCTCGGAGGGCCGCGTGGGCTGGGCCTGGATGTTCACGCGCCCCAGCGTCCCGTCCCCTTGGGCTCAGGGCTCGGTGTGAGGAGGGGACCCGTGGGGGTAGGTCTGTGACGAGTTCGGACGTTTCTTTATTGAGGTGGTTTCACTTCTGAGGCAGCGTTTGCACACCGGCCGGGAGGGACTCGGGGAGCACAGGCTGCGACGGGGCTGACGCCAGTTCCGGGTCCCATCGCTGCTCCGGTGCAGCCCGCCTGCGGGGCCACCGCTGTGCAGCGGGCCAGGCCAGCCGTGACCGCGTGCTCCCCGCAGGGCCTGCCTGCGGCCAGCCGCGGGAGGCCCTCTGCTTGCCAGGCCGGCCCTGCAGCGCTGCCCGTTGCCAGCGTGTGTCCGTGCCTGTGCCCGCCGCGGCAGCGCTCAGGCAGGCGCACATCTGTGTGGGGCGGGCGCTCGGAGGCAGCTGGAGGCCCCTCGGTTCCTGCTCGGCCCGGGCCTTGGAGGTGCTGCGCCTGGCACATCGGCTCTGCCGGGCACCGATGCCAGGCCTCCCGAGGCTGTGGTGTTGCTGGGGCCAGGACCCCGCCAGCCGGCAGGTCGAGGCGCAGGCGGGGCGCAGGCCTGGGGACAGCTGGACGCCATGGCGGGGGGGCAGGCGCACGGCTGGAGGGCCCCTGAGCATTGAGGGCCTTCAGGTGGCTCATTGGAGCTTTTCCAGTTTTGTTGGGAATCTCCCGGTCACCTTGGCCTCAGTGAGGGGGCGACTGACTGGGTGGTGCTCTCGCCCGGGGTCTCCACAGACTGACCGCAAGTTGAAAGATCCTCTACAGTTCAGAACCCAAAGTCCCGACCTTTGATTTCAGAAAGAATATTTTACATCTGTTTGCTGACAGACAGGCCACCATCAAACCAGAGAGACGGCAGCTAAAGCTGGGACGGCGGGGGGCGGGGCCCCGTGTCAGGCCGGCCCCGCAGGCCTCGCGGCTCTGGGCCGGGCCGGCGCAGGGCTGTCCCTGGCGGCTCCCCCACTGTGGCGCTGGAAGGCCCGGCTCTGAATCGGGGGGCGTCAGAGGCAGCGAGTTAAGAAGAGACGCGTGACAGCCGTCAGCTTGTGTCTCGGGGAGCACAGGCCAGGGTGCGGGGCCGGGCCCGCGGTGCTGGGGCGTCCGCCCGTCTGCACGCGTGGACCGCGCGGTGGTTGGAGCCAGCGCGGGGATGGGGCGCCAGGGAGGGGCCGTGTGCGCTGCCCGGGCCCCGTCCGGCGGGACTGTGGACGCCGGCCTGTCGCCAGGCCGGGCTGAGCCGATCCACCTGGGTTTGCTGAGGAAGAAGTTCTCTCACGGATCCTCGCTTTGTCCCCAACACATGTGGCCGGCAGAACTTCTAAAGATTGAGTTCTTTAGAACGTTACTTCTGACGGCGACCCACTTGTTACAGCAACGGGACAGAAACAGGGTGTGGCCTCCGAGCTGGATTTCAAAGAGGAGCCTCTGCTCCCTGAGGGGCGGCGGGCACAGACCGGGGGCCCGCGGCGGCCTGTTCCCGCGAGTTTGCGAGCCCCGGAGACCGCCCCTCTGTGTCGTGCCCGGAGGGGCTGTGGCTTGGGACGCCCTTGGGGCGGGGTCGCTTGCGCGGCTGAGCCAGGGCAGCTGTGCCCTGCGACCCCGCCCTTGTTCTGCGGGCCGCGGGGGGGGCCTCCGGCCGGGGTGCGGGTGCAGGGGGCCCGCCAGGAGGCTGTGCCAGTGGAGGCAGGCGTGCGGGGGCCACGTGCAGGCGCAGGGCCAGGAGTGGGGGGCCTGGGGTCGCCGGGGGAAGAGGGCTGGGTCGTGCCGGGGGGCTGCTGCCGTGCGTGGCCTGGAGGAGGCCGTGGCCAAGGCTGAGGGTGAGGAGGCCAGTGCGTGGCCTGGGGTCAGAGCCCCCGGAGGCGGGCTGGGGCGGGGGGTCTGCTGGGTCTCGCCCCGTGGGGCAGCCAGGGAGAGGTGCCACCTGGGGCGGGGCTCTTGTCCGGGGGAGGGGCCACGTGGGGGGCAGCGCGGGGCCGGGGAGCCCCTGCCTCTCTGCAGTGCTGGGGGGCGGCAGCGGCCCGTCCGGAAGGCTGGTCCCGCCGGCCGGGGGAGGAGGCCCCTGGGTGTGCAGTGCGTGTCTCAGGCGTTTCAACGTGAGCAAGAGTTACGCTCGTTCCCGTTTGAAGAGAAAGACCTGCTGGGGGTGGGGCTGATGAGAGGAATGTGGGGCTGCGGGCCTCCCCTGGGCGTGAGGCGGCCTTGCGGGCGCGGCCGCACACTCGGGTCCCCGGGGGCCCCTGCCGCGCGAGGGGCAGGCGCCCGCAGCCTCGGTGCGCTGCTCTGGGCGGGGCCGGACCCGGTCTCCCCGGCACCCGCAGGCCTCCCGGCTGCAGGTGGCCAGAGCCTGGGCCGTGGGCACAGGGCTCGAGGTGGCCGCCCGGGGGAGGGCCCGTGTCGGAGGCGCAGGGGACCAGGGACGCTCGATAGGACGTGGGGACCTCTGTCGGGGTCGGCGGGATGCCCCTCCCACAAGCCCCCCCGAAGGACCTCAGGCAGGTGTCTTTTCTGTTGCAGACATTAAAAAACTCAAAGAGCCTCGGCTCCCTCGATTACGAAGGTGAGGATGACGATGACCCCAGAGCGAAGACGGCCGTGTCCTGCCCACGGGACCCGCACGACCTTGCCGGCCTCGCCGCCCCAGGCTCCAGCCCCTGGGTCCCTCGGGAGCCGGTGGCCAGCGAGGGCGGGGGCGGCGGGGACCTGAGTGACTGGGACAGCGCCGGGGAGGAGGGCGTCCTGCCGCTGGGCCCCGGCGCGCTGGACCTGGAGCAGATCGAGAACAACTGACCGTGGGGCCGGGCCAGGCCGCCTGTCGGCGCTCGGGGCACAGGGCAGCGCCCCGTTAGGTGGCACTGTGAACGTTAAGTGTCATTTTGATTCACTTTTTCCTAAAGGGGTATTTTGCATTTTTATGGCTTTTACACTTGTGGGGAGAGCGTCTATTTTGAAATGGGTTTTTGGAGGAGGGTCCTCTGTTACCCGGGGTCCGCCTCGGGCCCCAGGGCGGGCTAGCTCCTCCGTCAGCGCCGGCGGTGACGGGCGAGGGGCGCTGTGTGGCGTCTCGCTGCGAGACGCGGGCACCAGAGGGCCGGGGCCGCCACAGACTTTGTCCCCGTGTGCGCCGCACTGCCAGCCCTCCACCTGCGCCCTGACCCGCGGGGGGCGCAGGGCCGAGCATTCTGGGGCCGAGGGTGGCGGTCCCGGCGGTACCTGGTGTGACTTCAATAAAAACGTGTGCTTTGCATGCGCGACTCCTGCCTGTTTGTCATTTCCAGGTGTGAAGTGGGCCTGGGCGCAGCTGGGCTGTCCTGCTGTTCCTTCCGAGTTACTGCTAAAGACGCTGGCCCAGGAACTAGGGGGAAGAGGAGGGAGTTTGTGATCGTGAAAGGAAACGTTCCTAATTTTTGGAGAAATTTTCTTGATTTTCTCTCGTTCCCCGAGGGAGTTGGAGCGAGGCACTCGAGGCAGCCCCGTCGTCACCGGGGTGGGGCTGTGGGGCAAAGGCGGCTCGCCCGACCGGCCCCTGGGTCCCGCGCCCGCAGGCGCTGACCTGGTGCCCCGCAGGCCGCCCCCGTGCCGCAGGGCGGCATTCCGCAGCCCCGGGCCTGCCCCGCTCGCCTACCTGCGGAGCTGAAGTCGCCCCTGAAGCCGCGCTGCCCCGTGAGGGCCCCAGGGGGCAGGGGTGGGGGCGCACAGAGCCTCGGGGCCCTGCTCCGGGAGCCGCTCTCGGCCGCCCGGGCCTGTGCGGTGTCCCTGAGGGACGAAGACGTAAAGTAAGCCCTGGGGCGCCCGGGGCGGGGAGCTGCCTTTCGTCCTCAGCGGGCCCGACCTCGTGACGTCGTGAGCAGCCAGCGGCAGGTCTTGAGTGGGACAGGACCTGGGGGGCCCCGGGAATGCGAAGGGGCCTTTGGGGTGAGGTAGCCCCGAGGGTGTCGCCTGCGCCCCCGCCCCCGGAGCCCCCGCCCGGCCGCCTGTGCGTTGAGGTGCTGAGCCCCAGGCCAGGGGAGGAGAGACAAGCCGAAGAGAAGGGCGGGGCGAGGGGAGAGTGGGCAAGATGGCGGCGCGGACGACCGACCCAGGGCCTCGTCCTGGATCCCCAGCACCTCGGGGTCGGCTGGGCTTGGCTGAGAGCGAGGAGGAGGAGCCGGCAGCCACCCCAGGAACAGAAAGGGGCGGGACCGGAGGTCGTCAGGGCAACGAGGGGGTATTAGGGACAACTTAGCAGGAACGGCCAAGTTCCTGGAAAAATACCGCCAAAGCCGGCTCGACAGAGGACCCAGGGAGAGTCAAACACCATGACACGGCAGTGTCACGCCTTCCTGTGGAGGAAACAGCCCTGGGGGACCTCAACCAGACAGGACGGGGACCGGGGCTGTGAGGGCCGTGGGCTGACCTCCGTGGCCGAGGTGTGGGGAAGCCCCCCCGGGCTGGCCTCTGCCCTCCTGCAGGAGCAGAGGGGCTGCTGGGGGCAGGGCCGGAGCCGTGGGGCTTGGCCGGGCAGCGGCCCCCCCGCGAGCCCTTCCCCGCTGTCCCCCCCGACTCGGACCCCACAGCAGGGTTCCATTCGCATGAGGAAGCGTCACAGGCAAGCAGGGTCCCCCAGCCTCAGCCCCGGGGAGGGGGGAGGGGCGGTGGCCCGTTCCCTCGCAGGGCCGCCAGCCTGCCTGTGCACGCTGACCCCTCACTCCCTCTCCCTGGCCCCTGGCCTGGGCCCTCCGGAGCCTGGACGACCCTCCACCGCAGGGGTGCCCTGTGGGGGGAAAGGGAGCCCCGACCCGCTGTTTCCCCTTTCTCGGCGGGTGGGCCGGGTTGGGGAGGCTCTTTGATTTACATTGTCCTAGCAAACTGTCCGTCCCCTCGGGCGCGCGCAGCGTGTCCAGTCACCTTCCGCCTCTGCGGCCCGAGGCCCCGCCGGGCCCTCGCGCGCCCCTGTCCTGCCAGCGCCTGGGGCGGGCGCGGCGTTACTTCACCCGGGAACCGGCTCTGCGGTTCACAGACGCGCGCAGCGCCCTGTTTCCAGTTCATTAATTCGCCTTTATCTCCGCCCTCCTGCCTTCTGGATTTACTTTATTGTTCTGTTTTCCCTCTTTGTGGTGAAGGTTTCGTTCATTTATTTCCAGTCTCTCTGGCTCAGTCATCAGAACGTTTAAGGCTGTGCGTTCTCCGCCAACTCCCGCCGCGCTCTCTGCGGCTGTCACGTCGCCCGCCACGGCCCCTCCGGCCAGGGACTCGTCAGGAGAGGGGCTGGGCCCCTCTGGCTGCCGGGCTTCACTTCAGATCCTTCTGTTCAGCTGCAGGCTTTTTGTGTGGGTTCAAAGGATGAAGCCTGGAAGTGTCTGACCTCTTCTTTTAATGTGATAAACATTTTTATTTTTCGTAAGCCTTCAAGGAAATGCTTACAATGTGGCAAGCTTAGTAAGAGAGCACGCTGCAAACAGGCGTGTGCGGAGAAAGAAGTGTTACCTTGTGTAGCGAGGCACACATGCGTGTGAACATGTGCGCCCACACGTGCCATGTGTGCCACATGTGCTTGTCATATGTGCATGTGCGGCTGTGCCCACACACATAAGCATGTACATGTGTGCTCACATGAACGCTCTGGTGAGAGCCGCCCAGCCAGGCTCTCCCGCGAGAGGACTCAGGCCCTCGTCCCCATTGCGTCTTGTGTGGACCTCGGGTCTCTGGGCGCGCGGGGCCGGGTGGCAGGCCTGCTCCTCCGTGTGGGGCAGGGTGCCCGGGGGCTCATGCCCCTTGTTTAGGTCTGGGGGCCGGGACGGCTAGTTAACGAGCTCAGAGATGTCTGAGTCCCCAGGGGGGGCCCGGGAGGGGCTTGCTGGGGACTGGGGGTGTTGGGGGAGCGGTGTGGGGGTCCCGGGGCCCCAGGTGCCCTGTCCAGCCCGGAAGGTGAGAGGCGGAGCTGGGCAGACCCAGAAGCTGCCAGTTCCTCGTTGACTGGTGGCACGAAGCCCCGAGTGGACGTTGAGCTTCGATGCTGGTCCCCCCTCGGTGGCTGTGTGGCGTCCCTCCCGGAAGCCGCACTCACTGGCTCGGGCGCAGCAGCAAGCAGCGCAGGCCGGGCCGGAACCACCGGCCCCGACCCCTGCCCTGGCCCGGGGCTGCGCATCCGGGACGCAGGTGCGGCGGGGGCTGCGCCCGAGGCCTCTCCCCTTGACGTGTGGACGGCCGCCCCCTCCCTGTGGCCTCACAGGGTCACCCTCTGTGTCTCGATCTCGTCCTTTTATAAAGAATTCAGTCCGATTGGATCGCGGCTGCCCCAGTGACCTCAGGTCACCTTAACTGCCTCTTTAAAAACCCTTCTTCATGTGTTTACTGTGGTAACTAAGGTACACACAACAGGAAACGTGCCATCCTCGCCATGGCTCCGCGTGCGGCTCGGTGGGTCAGGCGCCGGCACGCTGGTGCGCAGCCGGCACGGCCGCCGGCGTCTCCGGAACTTCGCACCCTCCCAGCCTCAGGCTCCGTCCCCATTAACGAATGGGCCCCGCCCCCCGCCCGGGCTCCCGCCGTCCCCTGGGGCGGCCGAAAACTGTGTTTGGTGTTCTTCGTAAGAAAACTTATCTAAAAACTTAACCAACATGGGTGAATTTTTGTGTAGCCATTTTAATATAGAAGGTGAAAGAGATGATACATTTTTGGCATGTTATGCTTTATTTTTTTAAAGAAATGTAAAAACACCACTGAAACACAAGAAAGGTGCGTGCCGTGTGGGGAGAAGGCGCTGTGACTGCGGAGGGAGGACCCGGGCAAGAGGGGTTTGCGAAGTTCCGTGTGGAGCCCTCTCTCGGGACGATGCTGCCGGCCGGGCGGACAGTTGAAGGCGGCAGCGGTCAGATGAGGACAGGGACTGAGGACAGTCAGTGCTGCGGCCCCCAGGGCCGGCACACTGAAAACGTCCAAGTCGACGTCACTGCGGAACGTGAAGAATGTCTTTTATCTTACGGAGAAAACCACCCAGACTTTCTGGCCGCCCCCACCCTTCCAGTCTCCGAGCCTGGCCCCGGAGGGACCCCGTGCCTGGCCCCGGAGGGACCCCGTGCCTGGCCCCTGAGGGACCCCGTGCCTGGCCCCAGAGGGACCCCGAGCCTGGCCCCTGAGGGACCCCGTGCCTGGCCCCGGAGGGACCCCGAGCCTGGCCCCGGAGGGACCCCGTGCCTGGCCCCGGAGGGACCCCGTGTCTGGCCCCGGAGGGACCCCGAGCCTGACCCCGGAGGGACCCCGTGTCTGGCCCCGGAGGGACCCCGTGTCTGGCCCCTGAGGGACCCCGTGCCTGGCCCCAGAGGGACCCCATGCCTGGCCCCGGAGGGACCCCGTGTAAGTAAGATCGTGCAGTGCTCTCCTTCGGCGTCTGTCTCCTTCCGCTCAGCACCGGGCGCTCCGGATGTGCTCACGCGGCCGCAGGCGCCAGAGCCTCCTTCCTTCCCGAGGCTGAGTGGTGCCCCCCTGCGCGGGTGCACCCCAGCCTGTTAACCGTCCACCCCCGGAGGGGCGCTGGGTGGTGTCCACGTTTTGCCCGTTGCGGCTAATGCTGCCGCGAGCGTGGGCGTGCGGTGCCTGGCCGAGACCCTGCTTTCGGTACCTCTGGTCCATACGCAGAAGCGGTATTGCGGGCCACGGGCTAGTGCCCCTTTTACTCTTCCACTTCACGTTCCTACCGGCCGCGCGGCAGGGGTCTGCTCTCCCCGCGTCCTCACCAAGCGCTGGTCATTTTTTTTCCCCGAGAGTCGCCCCCCTTCCTGGGTGTGAGGCAGTGCCTGGGGGCTCCTTCC